CTGAGGTCTGGTCACCATTGCCTGCCTCACACCTCCTAGCCTCCACTAGTGGACTCTGTGCACAGCCACCTGCAGCAAAGCAACGCACCCATGATGCACCTTAACGTGTGGAAAACTCAACCCTCAAAAATCACAATGCCTGCCACGGTGACCTGGGGAGGTAATGAAGGTTAGGTGAGGTTGTGGGAGTGGGCCATGACAGCATTAATGCTCCCCACCAGTACAGGGGCTCCAGCAAAGCCTGTGTGCTGAGCTATGTCCAGCATTTTTATTTTATTTATGTTATGTTATGTTATGTTATGTTATGTTATGTTATGTTATGTTATGTTATGTTATTTTATTGGCAGCATCTTGCTAAATCACTAAGCTGCCCAGACTGTCTCAAACTTTAGTCCTCCCTCAGTCTCCCAGAGTGCTGGGATCACAGACATGCACCACCATGCTGCGTGGTACTTCTAGTTTTTGATTTTAAAGTGATCTTACTTTTTACTGATATGTGTAACATACACACAGAACAGTTACAAATCATATGGTTCTCTTCTTCTTCCTCTTTTTTTGCTTATTATGTAGAGCAAGCCAACCTTGAACTCACTATGCAGCCCAGGTTGGCCTCAAACTCATGGCAAAAGGGCTGGAGGTGTAGCACAGTACAAAACCCTGGGTTTGGGCCGAGGAGATAACTCAGTAGAATAAGCACTTGCCTGGGAAGTGCAAGGTCCTGAGTTCAATCCCCGGTACCGCAAAAAACTAAAAATAATAAAGTTGACACTGTGTTATTTACAACAAAACCAAACCCTAGGTTTAATCTCTAGTACTTAAAAGGAGATGATAGAGAAGGGTAAAATCAGGTGATCAGGTTAAAATAAGGTCATATGACTGGACTGTAATCAAACACGACTACTGTCCTTATACAAAAAGCTTTGAATATTTGCAGCAGGTCTTGCAGATGGATGGACCAGTCAGTTCTGCACAGTGGCCTTTTCTTCACAGATGAGACTGAAGTAACTCACAGAGTAGAGAGGGAGTTAAAGAGTGCAGACCTGGAGAAGATCTGAAGAGACACCTTGCCAAGGAAAACATAGGAGAGCCAGCAAACAAGAGCAAAAGTGGTGTGTTGATAAAACTACAGTACCCCCCTACAAGGGATTCTACTCGATGCAAGAAAGCAAAGAACTGCTGTGCTGACATGGCACACAGGCATCTCAAAAAAACACGTTCAGGGAGAAGGCAAGGGACACAGCGCATAGGGACAATTCCACTGACTCCAAGCCCAGTCGGGCTGGGTTTTCAGCTACAGATAGCTGATAGCATCTCGAGACAGATCTTGGGGGGACGCCGCATGTGGGAGCTCAGGAGCAGGAGCAGGTTCTGGTGCTAGCACCAGTCTCCTATGCCCACCCAGTCCCATCTGGAGCGCCCTGTCTGCAGGTCTCAATGCCTTGCTTTTAGCTAAATCCTACCATGTTGAGCATGAGCCAAGGCAGACACCCAGCCGCACCTGCAGCCCCAGAACCTCCAATGAACCTGGAGAACACAAAGGTGGCCTCAGCTCAAGAACATCTGCAGACCCCAGAGCCTCAAGGCTCTGACCATGTGTGGTCCCAGCACTCTCCTGCCTGGTCCTGGCTGGCCTACCCAAAAGCAAAAAAGTCTGTGTGCTTCGGCCTCTCCTAATTCCAAGGCAAAGACTACTTCTCTTTTTTCTAAAGAACCAGCAAAAAGAAAAGGAAAAGAAAAACACACAGAAAGGAGGCAACTTTCTATTACCTTACTAATGCTATAGAAATACCAAAAGCCAAAGCTGAATAAAATCATGTAAACTGCTTTTCTCCCTCTCCCTCCCTCCCTCTCTCTAAGATGCTTTTCAAAAACATTGAAGTCAGTCGTGCAGGCTGTAGCACACCAAGGCTCTCCCTCCACAGTGGGAAGACAACCTTGAGTTGCTGGGAGCAGCAGCTGGGGACCACCTGAAGGGACATGTTTCAACATTTTACAGCTGGTTTAACTCTAGCAGGGAAATATATTCAACATATGTCTTAAAACTGATGATTAGGTTCCTCAAGTTTAAAAAACCTATAAAAAGGCAGAGCATGGTGATGCACACCTATAATCCCAGCACTCAGGAGGCTGAGGCAGGAGGATCAGTGTGAGTTCAAGCCAACCTGCACTCTGCAGCAAGACCTGGTCTCAAAACAAAAGGGAGGGGGAGGGGGAGTAACATCCATGAGCCATTAGCTTAAAACTTTGAAAGAAGTACTTAAATGGTAAGACTCTGTCTAATGTATACTTAACCAATGGTGAAAGATACTAGTTTTTATTTAAAATTGACTCAAACCATAGTGGTACACACCTATAATCCCACAGCATTCTTCAAGGTTGAAACAGGCTAGTAAGACTTAGTGAGACTGTCTCAAAAAAGAACTGGAGATGTAGCTCAGTGTGAAGTTAGTGGGTTCAATCCTCCAAACTACCAAAAACACAAAACACATTCATAATAGAACGTTGAGGAACAAACAGAGCTGGGCACACAGTAGCACACACCTGTAATCCCAGTACTCTGGGAGGTTGAGGCATAAGACAAGTGCAAGCCCAGCCTGGGCAATTTAGCAAGACCCTGCCTCAAAAATATGAAGGTGGGCTGGTGAGATGGCTCAGTGGTCTAAAGCACCTACTTAAAACAAGCTTAGCAAAGCACAGGGACCGCGGTTCAATCCCCCAGCACTGCATGCCAGCCAGCCCCGCCCCCTGGTGGGCTGAGCTGGCCACACACACACACACACACACACACACAATTTTTTAAAAAAATATGAAGGCGTGCACGCACACATATGCACGTGTGGGTATGTGTTTATGTGTGTGTACATGTATGATGTTTAGTGCAAAGGCCCTGAGCTCAATCCTAGTACCACCATCACCAACAAAAACAACCAACCATGAAACACCTGTTTTTGTCTTGGCAAGGCAGCATGTATCTTTTTTTTTTTTTTTTTGGTGGAACCGGGGATTGAACTCAGACCCTTGCGCTTGCCAGGGAAGCACTTACTCCACTAAGCCATCTCCCCAACCCTGCAGCATGTATCTTTAATCTCTGCTACTAGAAAGCTGGGCAACTTCCCTGACACCCTGTCTCAGAATAAAAAAGGGTGGGATGTGGTCCAATGCTCCCTGGGTTCACTCCCACACAGTCTGCCCGCCAGACTTCCTGCTTTAGGCTCAGTTGTGGCTGCTGTTATGGCTCAGCAAAGCAGCTCTGGGTAACAACAAAATGAATGGAAGTCTGCTGAAAGGTAAAAACAGCGTATTTTTACCCTACAGGGCCAAAGTTTTTTGCAAAAGTGATAAAACTTACTTATATTTTCTACTATAGTCACCAGCTATCACGGAAGTACAAAATATTGAGTATGAGAAAGATGCCGTCTTAGGGTTCTTTTAAATCGGAGGAGCTGCCCCATATCATTTCAAATGTAGATTGTTTATCCCAAACTCTAAATATTAGGAGTGCCCAAGCAAAAGAGTTGTAAAAGGATTGCTTAGAGCCAAGAAGATAGCTCAGCAGACTAAGCACCTGCTTTGGCAAGTGCAGGGACCAGGGTCTGATCCCGGGTCCTTCATGCCTCGAGGGCACCAGCACCTGAGCCTGTGATCAAGTCCAGGTATGGTGGCTCACGTCTGTAATCCCAGTGCTGGGGAGGCTGAAAACAGGAGGATCACTATGAGTCTTGAGCTATGTAGTGCGACTCTGTACAAAATACATAACGGGGCGGGGATGGATTGCTTTTTAAAAACTTTCAGACAAGGTCTAAATTGTCCAGATTAGAACCAAACTTGCAGTCCGCTTGCCTCACCCCATGTCAGGGTAAAATGCCTGCTAAAAATGGCATCATCTGTGTGAAGGTCCAGGTGAAGCCATCTGCTCTGGTGCACAGCCCCAAGGCAGTGGTGCGCATGATGGCTGTCACTGCCTGTTTGGGGTAGGGCCAGCACTTCGCCAAAATCACAGCGGCAGCAACAGCTAGTCATATAGACACATGTTACCTTCAGTGAGTACTTGATTCTAACTGTGCAAACAATGAGAAAACACGACTTAGAAGGTAGTTAGAGGTATTCATTTTCTAACTCCAGATGTAAGCTACAGTGGGTCAGGTCCCAGATGTCCTTCCTTGCACCTACTACCGTAACTAAACCTTTTCATTACTCCACACTCCAAAGTACTATATCCAAAATGCCTGCAATGGGCTGAGGAGAGAGCTCAGTGGGATAAGTGCCTGCCCTGAGAGTGCAAGGTCCTGAGTTTGATCCCTGGTACTGAAAAAAAAAAAAAAAAAAAAAAGCTTACTTGCGAAATGAAAAAAAAAAAAAATTACAAGGGTAGAATCATGTACATTTGTAACAACCTTTAAGGTTTATGAATTAAAGCTGTCTGAAATGAAAAAAAAAAAAAAACAAAAAACAAAAATGCCTGCAAGGATTTGGAACAGCATAGACCACCAAGAACAAAAGACACAAAACAATTTCTCAGCAACCAAAAATAAGAGAAATGGGCTGCTGATGTAGAGCGTTCTCTCAGATGATGAAACCATAAAGTGAGCATGGTGCTAAATGGCATAGTCCTGGTAATGAGGCATCACTTGGTAAACTGGGGAGGAACACTCTTAGCAGGATATTGGCTTCTCTTACAGAGGCCTATATTCCTGTCACACGTTTTGTCAGATTCAAAGAAATGGCTCTACAGAGCCGATCTTAATTATACTCCCAGACACTAACTTTGTATTTTGTTCCTTAGAATTTATAGAACTTGACAGGGCCGGGGAGATGGCTCAGTGGAATAAGCATTTGCCTGGCAAGCGCAAGGGCCTGAGTTCAATCCCCGGTTCCACCAAAAAAAAAAAAAAAAAAAAAAATTTATAGAACTCGAAGTGATACCTGCCAACTACTGTTTACATCACTACAGCTCTTTAAAGTAGAAGCTGCTGGTTTCGTTATGTTGGTTACATACTATTTTTATTCAGGTTTATTTAATAAGAAAACAAACAAAAAAACCCCAACACTGCTGCAGGCCCATTCCTTCCCCACACAGGTTGTTACGGACAGCCTCAAGTAGGTGGAAAGCAGTTAGTGAGACCCAGAAGGAGCAACAGTTCATCAGGACTCTTTCCAAGTCTATTTACTTCCTTTGGTGCCTTGCTCAGTAAGGCACTGCTAGTAAGGTAACAGAATACAGGAAAAATCCACAACAAATAGTTCTAGTGACAATTTACTTGACAAGTTACAGTCTGATGGTGTTGATGATTGTTTCTTTCATTTTATTATTTTTTACAATAAGGATGTAGCTTTTATACTCCACACACAAAATAAAACAAGTGCTTAATACCAAAGAGTCCCTGCCCCCACCCCCCAGAACATCCTAAACATAGTAATGAGGAACAGAATAATCGAGACAAGTCTGATTTTAAAATCTCAATAGAAAAGCAAAAGTATGTATGTAATGCAACAGCTGTTCAATTTCCAATTCTAAATAGGCACCGCCACACAAAAATCCCCAGTATTTTCAATTTTTCCAGCACACATTCCAGTATAAATGCTCTGAACTGTAATGAGCTAATAATTAATAATGGGAATAGAACCTCAGGACATATGATATATTGCTTCCCTGACCCCCTTACAGTTGGAGAAGGCAGGTATTAGGGAATACAAAAGTCACAGGAAGAATTAAAAGGAAAAATTCTCAAAGCTGCTGCCATTTGGAGTAGAAAGGAAGACAGCATTTTACAAATGTTCAAAAAGACATGTAACAATTCATTCACTATCACTCCTACTTTAAGAATAAAGATCAGTGTCTTGTTATATAAAACTGTACTTTCAGAACCGAACTACAGGTTCACCAGAAACTATGGATGTAGTTTTAGACTTCATCAAGGAAAACAGGTTCAGTTCAGATCAAGTTAGATACTGTACGTCTAGCCTGGCTGAATCCTGAATCCGTGCTAGAACTGCTCACTGTTACCCTGAACAGCTGTAAACTAAACAATAGTATGTGACTCCATAGGAAGCTTAAGGATTGAAGGTATGTACACAGCCTATTAGATCTCTCCTGCTTCGCGCTCTTCAGAGCTCCTCCTGTCTTCTGATCTGCCATTTGCACTCTCATAGGACCGCTTCTTATCTTTTCGGTCTTGGTCACGAGGTGATCTGTCTCTTGAACTCCTGTCTCTGTCACGTGATGCTAAGTCTTGGTCTCTGAATCTTTCTTTTGAGGATCTGAAAAATATTAATTTGAGGAGCAAAATATGTTGGGAAACCCAAAATCCAAATGAAAGGATAGGATAAATATTAAGCTATTGATAGCTGAAGAAATATATTAGAATACATCCTAGACAGAGGAGTCAGTTTTCTGACAGAAAAGAGCACTACTGTAGTGGACAAAAGCACTAAAAAAGAAGGGTGGCAACAAATAGCTAAGGGTCAAATACAGTTAAGTGCCAAGTACAGATGCCTGGCAATACCTGGATTCCTAGCTACTCGGAGGCTGAATGAAGCAGGAGGATCACAAGTTTGAGGACAGCCTGGGCAACTTACTGAGACTTTATTTCACTAAAAAACTTAAAAAGCACTGGAGATGTAGCTCGTGGTACAGTGCTTGCCTAGCCTGCATTAGGCCCCAGGTTCAATCCCCAGTACAGCCCCAAAAAACTCTATACTAAAATAAGCTATTTTTAGTATCTTGGAGATAACTGTAAAGCTTCAACTCATAAAAAGGTATTTAATATAAAAATAATACATAGATAATAGCTTTAAAAAGTAAAAGACATTACTGGATTTTGAAAAAAATGTATGAGAAGTGATTCCAAATTGGATAGAAATCAATGACAGAATCAAGACGGCGGCAAATCTTTTGTGTTTGCTTTCTAGCCAGACAGTATCTAAGGTGCTGCAGGTCACTCTGCATCTGTGATAATATTTTTCTTCCTCTTCTGTTTACCAACCTTAAAGAATGTAAAACCATCCATAGCTTGCTGGCTATACAAAAGCAGGGTAACAGGCCTCATTTAGCCTGTAGGCAACAGTTTGCCGACACCTGATTTAATAAGACAAATACTCAACGATATGGCTTTAAATAACCACTTGTTAATTTTAAAATCTGCTTTACTCCTCCTGAGTTAACTCATTAAATCAGAATGGAAGACAGAAAAAGATAATTCCACACTAACAGGTTCTGATTAACTATAACTTAATACTGCCATCTCCATTCCTATATCCACCTTCAGTAACAAAGGTAACATAACAAGCTTAGATCATATTTAGTTAGAAGAAAACCCAAAGGACATTATGAAATTCAAATAAATATAGAATCTTCTATATTTTCAACATCTAAAATTAATAACAAATACTACATTTATTTGGTTCTTTACAGGTGATACAGAACTTTTACATAATTATCTCAACCCACATTTAGAATTAAGATCTGAGGCACTGCCAAGACCTGAATAACACTTTTTGACGCTAGAGTTTGAACCCAGGGCCTGGTGTAGGCTAAGCATGTGTTATATTGTGTAACTACACTAGCCCTGAATAACATTTTCAGGAAAATATAAGGCAGCAAAACAATAATAATATATTCACTTTTATATAGTTCAGGAGGATTAACAAAAAAGACAAAGATTACTATTAACTTTAAGCATTAAAATGATGTTAAAAAGAAAATCCCAATGCAAGTCTGATTCCAAGTCTACATTAGCTACACCTACTTAGCCTTTGTTTGAATGGAATATAAAGAAAAATCGTAGAAATAATACCTAAGAACATTTGACGCTGAGAAGTCCCAGTGATGAGAACTGAAAAATATTGTGAACATCAACTAAGGCTATATGAGCAATTACAACATCCCACACACAAGTAGTCTGGGTATACTTCTTGTCCACACTACCAATTACCTTAATAAAGGCAAACACTATCTTTTCGCAGGAGACAGGTGACATAATGACCTTACTTGGCCAGGGCCCCTGGACTCATGTTGACCATGTCTGACTCTATAAAGTTGCACTGTCCATGTCTGAACAGAGAAAGCAGCAGAAAGCTGCAAGTGATCCTCGCTGGTGTAGGGAACCTGGGCCAAGTAAAGGGCAGAGACAAGCTACTACACTAGAGACCAGTGCTTCCCACTACAGGCAGGAGAACAACAAAACAACAAAGACTTCTAATGGAATTTTTGCCTTTAAAAGTTAAATCCACATTGATAGCAAAACTTAATAGTCTATGTAGTAACAAGTAGGCTTTAATAAGCAATTACCGGCTAATTTTTGGTAAAAATAATGTTGCAAGAGTAATTTGAATTCAAAGATGAGAGGTACTATTGAGAAAAGCAAAACTTTTAATAGTTTTACAAAAATAGGCCTCTTTGTGAACATGCTGAAGTCTTAGATATAAGAGGTGTCACGTAGTAAGGTGGAAATTTTTCCTACACAACTTTACAATTTCAGGAAGCATGAGGGACTCAGATGACATGATCTCAGATAATGAGATTTCACTCCCATCCCTCCCATCTGCACCACCAATAAAGACATTTAAGAGTTCACAAACACCAGAAACAGTGACAGTTGGGCAGGTCAACACAAGAAATTGTCTACATCTTCATCACCTAGCTGCATGATTCTCAAAATTTAAGTACAAATTGCAATTTACAGAGAACTCTTAACAAATGCTGATTTCTAAACACTGTGCTGAGGGTGGCCTCCAAAATCCAGTTTCAAAAGTATGAGTCAGTGGCCTATAACTATACATACTACCTGTTTACATTACATCCACTTTATTCCAGTTTCACTGATGACCTGAAGCCATTTTCTGTTATTCTGGCATTTCCCTCACCTAGACCTGCAACACCCTATTGGATCCAGTTTAGCACTCTATAATCTTTTTGTCTGATGTCATTTCTGTGTTCTAATTTATACCGCAAGCTTCTCAGAGCAACCTGAATATGGGTGCTCAACTATGCTACATTTGTTTTACTAAGTCTAGTTCAGTAGGAAGCATAGTTTTCACTGATTAAAGTTAGAAGGAAAAATAAGAAATATATAAGAAATAAAATACCGAACAGGGCCCTAAAAACCACTCAGCTTTGTGAGTCAATTCAGGGAATGGGAAGTTGAGAGTCCAACAAATAGAAATAGCTTTTATAGATTCTATTAGGGACTCTATGTAGAATAATTCATAGAAAATGTAAAACTATTAAGTACTAGGCACTCAAAAAAGGTTTGTGTTATATGTAATCTAAAAACAGCTGTTGAGGAAAACAAAGCAATTGAATATGATTTACGGTGCACAGAAATTACCTGGTTTAAGGGCTATGATGTCACCTGAGAAGTGTTGGGAGATTAGTCTGTACAAACTGTGAGAACTAATCTCCTCTACCATTCTTTGTCTCCTCACTAGATATTCAGGTCTTTGAGTGTACCTTACCCAGTGTCTGCCTGCCTTACAAATTTTGAGTTTTTCTTTATACCAAGAAGTCTTATAGCTTCCTTAAAATTTTGAACCTGCCCTTCCAAGCTATACATACAATGAATTACATAGCACAGATTATAAACAAGAATATACTAGAACGTGTCTTCTCCGTGTACCAGCTCAAATAAGCTTGGAAAAAAAAGTCAAACAAAGCTAAACAACTCTTTAATGAAAGGACTTCTGAGAGCCCTAATGTGTTAATACATACTGAAAAACTTCAAGAGTTATTAGTACCTAAAATTATTTGCCTGTAAAATACTTTTCCCCCCAAGACATACCAAGCAGAGAAAAGCAGTAATAACCTCTGCAATATCAGTTCCAATTCCTCATTTGGGCTCCCTTGTAAATCTTTCGGAACTACCCATATAATCTGGAAAAAAATGTATACACCCACACACAAAAGTGTACATATCACCAGGTGCAAGTTCAAACCAATAATCTAAACTCTAACCCTAAGTAACATAAGCAAACAACAGGCTAAACATAAAGGCAGCTCCACATCCTCCGATCGGCACGTCAGTACCTCCTCTTGGACCGCTCTCTGCTCCTATCTCTAGAACTGTGTCTACTTCGCTGATGGCTGCGGCTGCGGCTACGGCTGCTGGAGCGGGACCGATGGCGATGGCGTTTCTCCCGAGACTTGGATCGTGTCCTCCTCTTGCGTTCTCGAGACATGGAGCGAGATCGGTGTCTGCGATGCTCTCTGGACCTTGATCTACAAAATAACAAGTTTTGACTTCGTTTTCTTTTTTTCTTTGGCGGAACCAGGGATTGAACTCAGACCCTTGCGCTTGCCAGGGAAGCGCTTATTCTACTGAGCCATCTCCCTGGCCCCTCCAGGTCAATTCTAAATATCTAAACTTCAAAACAAAAATAAAACCAATTCTGAGAGGTCCATAAGTATAAATTAACACCAGAAACATAGAAGAAAAATGTATATCACTATTATAGGCCAGGAATTGTATTACCTAAAAGTTTTATGAATTAATTTCATTAAACTTCTAAGATTTTTGGTATATTTTAGAAACTAAGTGTATCACTAATGGAGGTATAAGAAAATGCACTGCTTAGGATAAACTATTCTGTCTGAATTAGGCTGTGACTACAGAAATAAATGTGGAATACTCAGAAAATGCCAAATCATAAAATAATCAAAACAGAGGAAGATAGTCCTCTAGCACATAATTTGGGAGAGGGAAAAAACAGGAAAAAGCATTGCTAGCAACTACTAAGTAGTAGAGAAGGAAAAACACTATCCTAACCTTGACCAGGTAACAACTACACTTCTGTGGTTAATGTTTGGTGGCAAAGGTAAAGATGGAATGCAGAAAAGAGAAACATAAGAGAAAACAAGAGGGAGAAAAGGCATGTAATTTTGTTATATAGAGTCATTACAAAGGATTAAAGTGCCTGCTTAGGCAGAGTGCAGTGGCCGGGTTTCACTCCTGGCTTGCCATGCTGGCCTCGCCCCTGGGGCACACTGAGATAGCAAATGAGACTGGGCATGGTGGCACGTGCCTTTAATCCCAGCTCAGGAGGCTGTAAACAGGGGCCAGGGAGATGGCTCAGTAGAATAAGTGCGCAAGGATCTGAGTTCAATCCCTGGTTCCACAAAAAAAAAAAAAAAAAAAAAAAAAAAAAGGAGGCTGTAAACAGGCAGATCACTACGAGTCTGATCTAGTAGTGAGAGCCTGAACACCCTGTAGATCCTGCCCTAAAATACAAAATAAATAAAATAAAATAAAATGTTTTAAAAACAAGGGTTGGGGCTGGCCAAATAGCTCAGTGGATTAAAGTACCTGCTTAGGCAGGGTGCAGCAGCCGGGGTTTACTCCCTGGAATGCCGCCCCCTGGGGCACACTGAGTCTGGGATTGAGACTGGGCATGGTGACATGCACCTGTAATCCCAGCTCTTGGAAGGCTGAACATAGGTGGAGCACTAGTAGGATCTACATAGTGAGACCCTGCAGACCCTGTACTAAAAAAAAAAAAAGGGGGGGTATAAAAAAAAGGGTTGGGGATATAACTTAATGACAGAACACTTGCTTGGCATAAGAGGCATGGGGTGGGACTAAACATTTAAACTTTTTTTTTTTAATTTTGACTTAGATCTTATAGGAAATTTTTAAAAATATTTATTTATTTTTAAATTAATTTCATTTTTTAAAAAATTTGTGTGTGTGTGTGTGCGTGGCCAGCTCAGCCCACCAGGGGGCGGGGCTGGCTGGCATGTGGTGCTGGGGGATTGAACCGCGGTCCCTGTGCTTTGCTAAGCTTGTTCTAAATAGGTGCTTTAGACCACTGAGCCATCTCACCAGCCCTATTTTTTTTTTTTTTTATTTATTTTGTGTGTGGCCAGCTCAGCCCACCAGGGGGCGGGGCTGGCTGGCATGTGGTGCTGGGGATTGAACTGCAGTCCCTGTGTTTTGCTTAGCTTAGCTTGTTCTAAGTAGGCGCTTTAGACCATTGAGCCATCTCACCAGCGCCAACATTTAAACTTTTTAAAAGTCAATTATAGTAAGACCCGCTTGCCATTACTAATTCTCAAAATATACTCCCCTTTGTTTCAAACATAATTATTCTTGCCACATTCTGATACAGTTTTGGAAGTTTTCTTTAGTGTCTTTAGTTGTACTGTCATGATTTCATCCATGTCCCAAATCAATTCTAAGAAATATAATTATCTTTCACTGTCTTCTTTTTTGTACTGGACAATGAACTCAGGACCTTGTGTCTGCCAAGCAGGTGATGGCTGTGCCACAGAGCTATATCTGTAGGTCACAGTCACTTTGAAGAAGGGTCATGAGTCACACAGTGCCAGATTTGGTTAATAAAGTAGATGAAGACATACCATAATGTCTTTATGAACCTGCCTTTCAGTCTGATGGCACTAAGCAGCAGTATCCACTGTATTCTTTAAATCACACATTGTAAAGACACTCAGGAAAGACTTCCAGAACTTTCAGACTTCCAGAAAAGTGACAAGAATACTGGGATAAGTATGTTCAAAGCAAGTAGTATTGTGAGGTCAATTAATGGCCATGTGTCTTTTCCTATAACACTTTTTAAAAAAACTTTAAGCATTCTTTTAATCACATGTTGTAGACAAGGCCACAGGTTTCATCCTTAGCATGGCAAAAAATAAAAAATGAGAGAAAAGGAAAAGGAAAAAAAAAAAACGATAAAAATATCCTAAATTGTATGACAGAACTTTAAATTTACTGAAATCACTTATCAAATGGGTCAATGATATATACTATATAAATTATACCTCAATATGACGGTTAAAAATTTTACATCATTAAGCATGTAAGACTAATGTTTTCTCCTAATTCATAAGTTGAAAAGCATATTAAAGTATATATGTTGACACAATAAACATTTTCAAGTGATTATTTTCCTATAAAGTTTAAAGATATTCAGTTCATTTAACATTAAAGGTGAAGAACAGCATGTTATAGACCTAGTAACAATCATAGCTGAATGGAATATCTGCAAAAAGGAGAAGAAAGAATATAAGTCATTCATTACATGTTTTATCAAATGATCTTTTCTTTAAATAGTCATGCTGAGATAGCTATTCTGAATCTTTCTTCCAATGGATAACTTTAACTTTATGCACTTTTTAAAAATTCTAGACAGGGCTGGTGAGATGGCTCAGTGGTCTAAAGCACCTACTTAGAACAAGCTAAGCTAAGCA